GTGGATTCCAACATTTGGTCCATTTCTTGCAGCTTTACCACCCTGTTGACCCACACACCCAGGGTTCCCATGGGATCCTGGCACATCAACGAGCTAAACGTCTCCTTGAACGTCTCCTTCTTTTCTGACTATATTCATAGCATTTTCTCCCATTTTTTTCCAGTATGGGCTAGAGTTTGGCTACCTAGTTTACCTCTGCAATGACCAGCTTTACTTACATTCTCACTTGAAAAGTCTTTTCAACTGGGCTTCATTCATATTTCCATCACTTTTTTATTTCCTTCCTTCTACTGACTTTTCCTTTCAATTCTCCACTTTTATCGGTGACTTCACCTGTAATGACGATGATTCCTTGAGCCTTTCCTGCTGGCGGGTGGTGCCCTGGCTCTGCCCTCCTCTGTGGTGTCTGATTGACCTCAGTTCTGGGGGCTCGCGCCCCCTAACCTTTTCCTAAAACAAACACTGGCTACTCTCTGCTGTCCTTAATTTAGCTACTAGCTTTTCTTTACACTATCACTGACGACTCTGCTTACACAATTGATTCCTTCCCTAGGACTCCTAAATCCCTTGCTAACAGTCCATCCTTTCCCAGAGCTTGATCCTTTGCAGTCGTAGCTAAACATCCGTGTGCGTGACAGCTGTCACAAAGTGTGCCATAAAGTAGCAGGAGGAGGATGCACTGCTCCCCTCTTCCTTTAAAGATTTTATGCCGATTCCTTATTAACAGACCTGATGCATTACTGTAACTAAATCTTGCTAAACAGTATAAATAAAGACCTGCAAAACGATGGGCAGGAAGACTTGCACCCAACTCTGACTCCCGTGTCTTCCTCGCTCCCCTTTCCCCTTTCCCTCTTCCCCCTTTTTTAGAAATCTCCGCTCGCAGATGCCTTCCCTCCTTAGGGTCCGGCCTGTCTTGCCTCCAGACTCCTCGATAGTTTGAGCTGGTCTCCGACAGTAAATGATACCACTTCAGTCACCATCACTGTGGTGATGTTTATTAACTGTGTTTATGGGGAAACCAGGCTGATGTCTGTATCTCCTCCAAAGTTATAGGTTCAAACCACCACAGATGTTTCCCTCACACCAGCCAGCACCAGGACCCAGGACCCCCACTGCTGACCATGGGTCCCGCTGCTCACCCTCAGTGCTGCAGTCGGATATCAAGTGTTTATCGGGTAACATCTGAGTGACTCAGTGTTATGTTCTCCATGTTCCGCCTGTGAGGGAGACACTCCAGAATTGGGCTTTCTCCTCCTGATGAGTTCTCGGAGTATAATTGCCCTCACTACTATCCACTAGTGGCAAATGACAGGATCCATTCTTTACTTAGGCAGGTAGGATGATCATATAAACACACCTCAGTTCCTGCTAACAATGCCTCTGTCATGGGTGGCTCCCACAGCTGGGCATGGAAGTGCCCACATCGAGGCACAGATAAAGGCTCATCACCCCAGGACTGACTATCTGATGTCTCTGGGACTCTATTAGAATGGCAAAAGAACGGAAAATTCATATAAATGAATAGAATTAGATGTAGCTAAAACTCTGCACAGGAAAGGAATTATCAATATAACAAACACACCTATAGGATGAAAGATAATATGAGCACATAACCGTTCAGACAAAGGGCTAAACCAAAGC